ATGTGAAAAACGTTTGTTTCTAATTGTACAAATAAATTTTGTTTTACTAAACAAAGCAAGAAATGTTTTGTGGAGGGGGGATTTTTGGTTAAAAACCCTGAATGAACCATTAACAAATAATGTTTGTTATGTTTTCTGCTTATCATAAATTAAATTGTAATTCTCATCTGCCTCTATTCATCACCTTCCTGCTCGGCAATACAGTCCAGGAAAAACAGTGTTAAACTAATGGCTGAAGATCAAGGAGGGCACAGTTTAAAAATGAAATGAATCAAAATACCATTTCCTAAACATTTTGATGGTATCTTTGTTATACTAGTAACAACTATAAATAGGAGTAGAAGATCATCCCTTGTTTCCTGTTTAGGATTGGGTTTCTGGTTCCTTCTAATGTCTACTTCTGACAACTCTGCCTAAACTCTGAAATATTATTTACTAATTATTTAACCCCCCACCCCTTCAATAGTAGATAAGCTCATCTGTTGCCCAGTTCACACTTCTCTAGCCTTTTGAACAGGAGTAGAGGTTTATCCCTTGTTTCCTGTTTAGGGTTGGGTTTCTGGTTCTTTCTAAAGTCGACAGTCTACTTCAACACTATACTTCTAATGTCTCTGCTGAAACGCTAAAATTTTAATTTTTTATTTATTTATTTTTTTCCATCCTCAATAGTAGACATGTTCATCTATCACCCAGTTTACACTCCTCCCTGGTCAGGAGTAGAGGTTTATCCCTTGTTTAGGATTGGGTTTTCAGTTACTTCTAAAGTCTTTTCATTCTCTTTCACTCTCAGTAGCCCTTTGCATTTTTGTGGCATTGTCACCTTGCTTGGGGTGAATTGATTAAAAGAAAAAAAATAAAAAGATTTTGAAACGGTTGAAAATTTTTTTTTAGGACCATTAAAATTCTGGGATTATTTTTTTTTAAAAAGTTAGTCAGAGCCCTGGTACTATGGCAAGCAGCTATTGATTAAAACATGATAATAATCTTCAATGAGAGGCAAAGTCAGATTTCACTTTGATTTTTGTTACCAGTTCATTTTGATATACATATGTATGCGTTTGTATATGTTAGGCAAATAGAAATCTACTATCTTTCATTCTGTAAAGAAAATGTAATTTTTTAGTCATCATAGTAACCTGCAAAATCTAACTGCTATATTTTATTCATTATAGAAAAATATTTTACCTTCCATCAGCATGGCTGATGCTAATCTCAAGGAGAGCAACACTTTACCTCTTTTTTTGGTCTCACATTTTCTATTGACATGAAGTGGAATGATTATATTGCATCAGTTGCTAGGTCAGCTGCTCATAATGTTGGTTCACTGTGTTGTGCCAGATGATTCTTCTTCCCAGAATCCTCCTTGCATGTTTATAAATATATATATTTGTCTGTGCATTGAATATTGTTACTATATTTGGTCAGGTGCTACTGCTATATATCACTAGATCCTAAACAAAATCCAAAGATGGATCTGCAGTGTTATCAGTCCTGACCTGGCATTTTGGCCAGTTACATTCTTATTGCCATGAGGTATCTCCCCTGTTAATTTTTTCACAAATATTTTTATGGCATATTGTCTTAATGAGCTTTCATTGCTGATACCTCGATCACATGAATTTAAGTGTACTACTAGATTGGCAACTAGGGCTCACTACTTTACTGCTAAAATACCAACCATAAGTTTTTTTTTTTTTTTTTTTTTTAAAACCTTCAGAATATTGACTATGAATAGATCATATTCAAAATTTGAGTAATTTATTCAAGTATTGGTAAGAATAAACTAATACTGATCTACGCATCCTTAATTGACTTATTTTAATGTTGATCTTGCTTTCTAGTAATAGCATTAAATGTGTTTTTCTTTCTTCTTTCTAGGTGTTTAATACTGGATTCCAAAAGCAGGACAGGATTTTTACCACTTAACAAACGGAGTTCATTTCACTTTTGGTCTGTGTATATGGTTTGCAGATGCCCTGCCTCTATTCAGTTTCCTTACATGTTCATGTCGGATAATGGAAACACAAGGTAAAATAAGTTTTAAATAATTCACCTTTTTTTTTTTTTTTTAAAGGTGTAGTTAACTTTTATATCATGATCAAACCATATGTTTTGAAACAATTTTTCCCCATTTCATTTAATCATTATACATTTATTGAATTATAATGAAGCCCTTGATGATAAGTTTTAATGACATGTAAAAAGTATTTGCATTTGTATGAAATGCATAACTGGCATTACTTGAACCATTTCTTAATATTAAACTGTGACCTAGTTTGAGATCTCATAGAATGTATCAATATAAGTCTGTATCATATATATAATAATGAACTGTAACTTTTTCTGTTTGTTTTTCTATCCATAATAAACATTCTTAGGTAATTATTAGCAGCTTGGTTTCACTATTCAATGTAATGAGAAAATCCATTGTTATGGTAACACAAAGCATGCATAGTGCCATTTAAATTGGACAAGTTTTATGTTACCATAGCAATAGTTTTTTAAATTAAAATATAATATAAAAATAAAATCTGTTATAACAATACAAGGCATGCTCAGTACCATTTGAAATGAGCAAGCATCATGTTATAACAAATTTAAAAACTTTAAAATATATATGTATTTTTTTAATTATTTCATTGCAAGCTAGGTAATAAAGCTACTAAGACACAATAAAAAACAAATGGTTACTGAGTGTTAGATGTAAATGTTAATTTATTATTTCATTTCAAAATTAGTAATTGCCAATATACCTTAACTATTGTTCTCAGCTTGGTTGATAGAGATGTTATTATAGACATAACATTTCGGACAAGTACCATTTGGCCATCATCAGGTGTCCCTTGTATTGACTGATGTAAGACCAAATATCAAAACCATTTGACAGCTCCAAAAACACTTCTGATGTCTTTTATGATGGTGGTGTAGTGGATATAGGAGTTTGTTGTACTTGTGTTACTGTCATTTAGCATTCCAGAGTTCGATTCTTGGATCAAGTAGAAACAAGCAATAATTAGCATTACAGAACAAATAACATGATAATCAGCAGATATTTAATATCAACCAAAACAGACACCTGATGATGGCCAGAAGCTATTTGGCTGAAATGTTGTCTATATCAACACAAATGGGAAGAATAGTTTGAAGTAATAAAAGTATTTTTATTTATTTACATTTTTGCAAAAAGAAAATAATCTCATAGATACTCAGTTATACTTGTGAATGTTTTCTTAAGTAATCAGTTGATTGAATTTTTTTTTCTTTTTGTAATAACTAAAAGTTTATAATAATGTAAAGTGTGACCTTTTCTGTATATTTTCTTTATTTGTAACTTCTGTGTCAACATGCAAACAGCAATATAAAATTAATAAGTGAATCTTTCTCAACATCCAATAGCAAGCAGACAAGTGACATATCCATTATGCCAGCATTTTGCTGCTTGAGCAGCATAGAAGAATTAACTTGTAAATACTAAATTAAGCAGTGTGCACAGATACTGAACTTTGACCTTTGCAGAAAGTAAGAGAGTGGTACTTTGATCCTAGGCTCAAAATACACATATGCTGATCTACAACAGAAGTACTGATTCTTTTATAGGTATGATGCTAGTTTGTGAGATGGACATTAAGGTTGTTATACTTATTATTGTTCATTTTGTTTTTGCTGTGCCATGGTTACTGTGCTTCTCTTATTTGATGTATGGGTGGTGTAATCAATAGCAGTTTGGAATGTGAAATTGGAGAGCTGAGTTTCAATTCTAGTCAGATTTATTACATTCATTTATGCATAAATATCTTTGGGAAAGGTGTGAATCCATCTCCTCCCCTAAATATGGTAAGACAATAAACTACATCCAACAGGAAGGCCTCTGATCAGGAGGTTTTGAGGAGCGTGGAACCACCTCTTAATTGCTGGTGTTTCCAGGTCCACCTGACCTGGAGTGGTAGCACCTGTTAGGGTCTGAGTTGTGGGCAAATAGTTAACCCCAAAACTGAGGTAAAAAGCATTATAAAAATGTAAAAATACTTTGTAAAAAATTATTATCAGAAATAAAGTTTTGAAGAAAAAAAAAAAACTATTACCAGCAATATATTTAAAAAATAAATAAATAAAAATATTACCAGTAATACATTTTTTAAAATATTACCAGCTATACATTTTTGAGGAAAAAAATATTACCAGAAATAGATTTTTGACAAAACACAATATTACCAGGAAAAAAAAGTTGTTGGCATTAAATAACCCATTGAGGTTGATATGCTGTAAAACACAACAAATCAAACCAAACCTCCCCCAAATATAGGTTAAATAGGTATCTGGAATGCAATAATCACTCACAAAGAAAATTCTTAAAATACGCTGTTTCAGTTTTAAATATCTCGCAAAAAGTTGATAAACCGTAAAAAAAAAAAACAAATCAATCAAACGTTTTATTTATAAGGAAATGCACAAGTACTAAGACAATATTCACTCATGAAACAAAGAATTATTGTTACAATGCAGAATAAATAATCCAC